TATGAAAAGGCAGTATTTTTTCAACAATAGGGTTGTTGATGGATGGAACAGTCTACCGGCAAAGTCATTCATCTATTATAGTTGATAACTTCTAATCAAACTTGCAATCGGTCAACTTAAAAGCAATACCAAACAAGAGAAAATTAAAAAAAAAAATTTATTAACTCTTTTTTGTTTAAAAATTGAATTAACTTAATAATTAATTATTATTTACCGGCTGTCATAAATGTTGCCTGGCGCTCTATTTCAACAGCAGTAAATATTATTATATTTATATTTTTATAATCACTTTAATTAAATGAAATAGGCAAGTTATTGAGCCTAAAGTTCAGTGTTTCTTGTAATGCATTTGAAGAGAAAATTTTGTTGTGAATAATGCTGGGAAATTTTGGCAAAAACCTTTTTTTTTTTTTAAATACTCTTTTAAATAAAAACCGTAATGTTCATAAATACTTTGAAAAATAAGTATTACTGTGACGGAATTTTAAAATAAATCCTTTGTGCCAAAGTTTTAAATAGGTTGTTGCTCTGAGGCACGTTCTATTCTTTTTTTATAACTTTTGAATCTATAACTTAAATTTTGTCAAGGTTGCAATTCAATTGGCTAAAAATAGGTTGCTTTAAAATGACTTGCAATTGAATTGGCTAAATATATTTGCGCAACGTAAACATCTGGTGTTTATCAAATTTATTTTAATAAATTAATAAATGTATTTTTGACCTATTTTGTTTGAAAAAGAAAAAAGATTATTATATCTTATCCCTTAGTGCTACTCCAACATGTTACTAAAAATGCTAAAATATCCTAATAATTTTAATAAGGTGGGTTTATATCTCCATTATAATCACACAAAGACTGCAATTGTTAAATAAGAAAACTTATTTTGCTTTTTTATCTATTTTGTAAAAACCTAAAAAAATTTTATTTAGTTTCCTAGAAATTGGTACAAAACAAAACAAGTTTTATTTTGTTTCGTAAAAATTGGTACAAGACAAAGTGAAACGAAATAAGGAATGAAACTTTAGAAATCGAATCTCTAGTACTACGGCATAAAAAATAACCTATTTAAATGCTAACAAAGTTATTTAACAAATTGAAAACAATGCGTACCATCCAAAGATGGACACCATAATGAAATGATTGAAGTAACATATGGTGTTCAACAGGGTCGATCTTATGACCTCTTTTATTTCTAATTTATATAAATAATATTTACAAAGCATCAAAACTAAGAAGTATTATGTTTGCAGATGATCCAAATTTATTCTTACCAAATGCTAACATTAATGAACTTATTTCGGAGTTAAACAAAGAACTTAAACGCATATCAAACTGGTTTAAATGTAACAAATTAACCATAAACATTGAAAAAACAAAGTATAAAAATAATTATAAAATTCTTTTTCACTCTTTATCAAAAAGTTTCTTATTGCTAAAAAAATAACCTAAGCTATTTATAGACAAGGTTGAAATAAAAAATGAATCGTCTACAAAGTTTTTAGATAAATTTGTCTAGATATGTTACGTGGAAACCACAAATTGATAAGAATAGAGCGGGACATATATCGGGACAATGGGGCATAACGGGACAGTTATGCCTGAATCCTTATATCTCAACAAAAATTTATTTTTTTTCAAAATTTTTTTTTTGATAAAACATTTTAAGTTGTTGTTCTTCACTAATGTAAAAAAAATTAATTTTAGAAATACCAAAATGCAATAAAATTACCAAAATACATCATAATATTTTTTGTTTAATTTTAAATTTAGTAGTAGTTACCAATTTGATAATATGTACTAGTTTTGCCTTTACTTAATTTTTGAAACATTTTTTTAATTTTCTTTGTTTAAGAGTATTTTAAAATAAAACACAAAAAGTTTTTTTTTAGTTGTTATTTCTTTTTTTAAAGTGTATGGGTGTATGGACGTGTAGTTTGTATGGGTGTGTTACAAGGGTATGTATCATGTTTAAATGATAAAATGCCTTCGTTTTTTGTCATTTTTAAAGCTTTACAATTAACGATAACTGCTGCTTTTTAACTGTCCCGTTTGGTCCCACTCACTTGCAAAATGTAAAAATTTAGCTAGTCTAGAGTTTCGTTACTTTGGTTGTTATATATATATATATATATATATATATATATATATATATATATATATATATATATATATATATATATATATATATATATATATATATATATATATATATATATATATATATATATATATATATATATATATATATATATATATATATATATATATATATATATATATATATATATATATATATATATATATATGTTAGTTTGTATTTTTAATATATATATGATAATTTGCATCTTCAATGAAAAAATATAATGTAACATTCAAAATAAAAAATATAAGAAATGTTTTAACATTTGTCAAGTGAAAACAAAAAAATATAGTTTATTTTATCATGTATATAGATTGTATATTCAATATATATGATAATTTGTATCTTCAATATATATATATATATATATATATATATATATATATATATATATATATATATATATTATATATATATATATATATATATATATATATACATTTATATGGTAGTTGGATCTTCAATATATAAATGATAGGAAGCATTATCTCTAAAATCATTGACACAAATAATAATTTTTTCTTTTTCACTTTTGCTGTGAAAAAAAATCTTTAAATGCAGGCGTTAAAAATTATTTAATAATGTTTAAAAATAAATATATTTAATAAATCATCATTTTTTTAAAAAAATTTAAAAAAAATATTATTTGTAAAAAATTGGTTCCTAAATAAAAATGATGTTCTTTATTTGAGTCAATCTTAGAGAAATGTAGAACTAGAAGATAGATAGAAGATAGAAGGTCTAGAAGATAGGTTAAAAGCAATCAGTAAGAATTTATTTTAGCGTTGTATAAAAACACTTCAAACAGTTTTTGATTTCCTGAATATTAACTTGTTTTGTCTTGACTTAGCTTAGCACTTAATTGTACATTAAAATATGACTTAACCTTCATTTTTTGCAAAGTGCTAAAATACAAATACGGGTATTTATACAGTAATCTAAAAAGATACTGAAACAATAACATTACGAAACAGTAGAGCTATTTTTTTTTTTTTTTACGGGTTCTGAGTAAAAATGTTGTTCAAAGCTAAATGTTAAAATTAACGCTTATTTTAAGAAATTTTGTTTTTGTTTTTTTGTTTCCTTATATCAATGAATTTTGAGAAATTTATAAAAAACAGTGTTATCTATGATTAGTTTATCTGCAACTAATATTTGTTTCAAAAAAGCTCCTATATGCCCCGGTCTGGCCTATTTTCAAAATCGTTTTACGCATTCTAAATTATTATTTAAAGACATGAAAGTTTTTATTGTATACAAATTAAACATCTATAAAATTTTATTATTTATGCTTCAATGTCAGAATTTCTCATTTTCAACAAAATTTTTACATCAAGAACAAAAAATACATTCTTCCAAATAATAATTCTTTAAATAAACTCTTTTGTCGAACAAAATTTAGTCAGTTTTGTATTATTCACCGATCACCTTACCTTTGGAATAAGATCGTTTTGCCTAATTTTAATTTGTAAATATCATTACCAATTTTTAAAGTTAAATCAAAAGAGTTTTATTCTTTCATTAGATAATATATTTATATATTTTAGCAACAAATGTTAATATATTTTATTTTTTTTTAAAAATATTCAACTTTGTGGCTATTTCATTTTATTTTAATCGCTAGTATATTTTTAACCTAGGCAACCTAATATATGGTTTTAATTTTTTTTTATTTATGTTAGTCTTATATTATATTATATCAGTGTTTATATTTACCATTTAATATATATATATATATATATATATATATATATATATATATATATATATATATATATATATATATATATATATATATATATATATATATATATATATATATATATATATATATATATATATATATATATATATATATATATATATATATATATATATATATAGGGATTTCTTGGGGCAACTAAATAAATTAATTAAAAAAAACAACGGGTTTACATCGTCAAAAACCCTGCGACGTCTTCTAAACACTTCAGATTTTATTAACAGTTTGTATCAACTATTTTCTTTGATTGCACCGGTTTTAAGATGATTTATCAAAACAGATCCATTTCATGTATTAAAACAAATAAGCATTTATAAATAATCAAAAATATGAACAAAAATTTAATCGACGAGCAGTTATTTAAAACGTTTATTTTTAAAGGTTCTCAGCAACAAGACCTCACGGACTTCTTTGAATTTCCACATTCTTAATTCCTAATTTTTTGTTTAATTGTAACCAAAATCTTTATCAGGGCCGTTCAGCTTTAAAATCTTTTCGGGACGGCCCTGATCTTTTTTTGCTAATTTATTTATTTAATTTTTATGTATTCACATAAAGTTGTAATAGAGATTGTAATAAAGATTACAATAAAGAAAAAAACAAAAACAAAACCAAAAAAAAACAACTAATAAACAAGAATTATGTTGTTTCACAAGAAATACTGATATTTGCGATAAAATTTGTATTCAACGATAAAAATAAGTGTATTGCAATAAATGATTTTTACATTGCATGGTGTTAGAAAAAAGAAAAGTCATTTATATCGATGCTAATATTTATCATAAACAAAACAGGTTGGTGTCTGTATTGTTATGTTTGGTTTTATAAATGTGATATTTTGAGTGATATTTTATTTAAAATAATAAATTTGTAAAAAAAGAATATGTATGTTATAAAATTTTTAAATAAAATAGTTTTCAGTTTTTTTCGGTTTTTTTGTATTTTAAAATTTTGATCATTTATAAATATAAACTTTAAAATACTTTTCTTCTTATTAAAATTTGTCATGTTTTAATTTATTTTACTTACCAATTTATCGATTTTATCGATTTATTTATTTATTTTTTAATTATTTTTATTTTTTGTTATTTAGGTGCCCCAAGAAGACCTAACTGTCTTTTCACAGAGCACCGCGGAAGTGCATTTAACCAGGAAGTTCACGCCTCCTTCCTTACCGTGACGCGAAAATGCGTCCAGAGGTCGTTTCGAGCCAGGATCTCCTGCTTATATAGCAAGCGTTCTAACCACTGCATCACGGCCTATACTTATATATTATGAGATACTATATGCTATATTTATGAGATATTTTTTTTACCAATTTATCAATTTTTATCGATTTATGAGATATTTTTTATTTCAACAAGATTTTTACGACTACTTATTATTTTTACGTTAAATTCCGATTTATTTATCACAACTCATGTTTATTTATCACGATAAACTCATGTGATAAACTCATGTTGTGATAAACTCATGTTGTGATAAATAAATACTTTTTACAATAATTTAGATTTTTCGGATAAATTAATAGTTTTTACAAATTAAAAAAAGAAAATTGTTGTATCAAGGCCAACGACCCGGGTTTTGAAGTGGGGGTGGGGGTACGATCGTCAATTTCTAAAAAAAAGTTCCCTATATCTAGAATTTTCTTAAAAAAAAAAAGAAAAAGTCCTTTTAGGGATGGGGGGGAGGCACATGCTCCCTGGCCCCATGGTGTCGTCGTTTCTGAAGTTTCTTTCGGATTTATGTAATTTCACTGTTGTTGGTGCTGAAAGTTTGAAAATTTATCCAGAATCATTTATAGCTTATATGCTTATATAAAGATAATTAAGGTAACCTAGATAGCCTAAGAAATGATTTACTTTGATCAAATTCTATTGCTTTACTAGCTGAAAAGTAAGTAGGCGCCACTGACATCAAACACTCTTATAATGATGCAGCTGGTATTCTAAGCACATTTCTTTTCAATTGCGATAACTAACTATATATTTATCCCCACCGAGTAGCACTTTAACCAGTGTTTATTTTCGACTACTTTTAAGGAACTTTTATCTACTAAAGTAAATGTATGTGGGATTCGTATATTTTTTAAGGGTAATTGATAACACTAGATCATTTGGTTGATTCGAACTTGATTTAAAATTACACTTTTTACATTTATTATACTTGAGTTTTTATACTAAAACGTTTGAAAAATATACTTGAGTTTTTATACTGAAACTTTTCGGGTAACAAATCCATAGAATGAACCCCAAGTTCATTAAAAGATTAGTGATAGCTTGATGTTAATCAATAAAGAGAAACAATGGTAACCATAATCAGAAATTTAAATATTTTATACAATTGAAAAGTAAAACATTTTAAAATCAATTTAGTCAAGTTTAAAAAAGGATTGAATCAAACAAGTAAAAAAAAAAATATTACAAATAAATAATGGAGACACATATTTACGATAAATTAAATTGTTAAACGAAAAATAAATTTGTTTGGCAAGAAGTCAATCTATACTTTCTATAGCTAGTATGACGCAAGTGGTAAAAGAAACCTGGGTACAAGTTATTCCAATAAGATAGGACAATTTTTCCCAATTGTGAAGCCAGTATAATATAATTAACCCTCAAATTTTTTTTTTGGAAGGTGATGGGGGGGGGGGGGGTGATAGAAACTTTACTGTGTCATTACTTTCTAAAAATAAAAATTTACCTCTTTAAAACAAGTTAACGCTTTAAATCACGAAGGGTTTCTTTTAAAGTTTATCCTGTTCCGACCATCTTAATAAATTGAGGATCTCATTTTCAAATAAAACGAACACCATGCTTCTGATTGTTTTTTTAGACTTAGACCACCTTAAACAAAAAAACAATAATAACAAAAAATTAAATGACAAATTTTATATGAAAATTGTATGACTACAGTTTATAGAGTTGTAATAACATTTCATTACCCATTTTACTAAAATTTTTACTTAAAACTCAAGACATTATCTAAAGACCAGAGACATGACCTCAAATTATTAATAATAAACTATGCAGTTTCGTGAAGAGCTATTGTGAAAACTTAAAGAAAAAAAGTTAGACTTTTTAAAAATAAGTTATAAATATTTTTACCAAATTATTAGTGCTCTGTTCTTAAGAATATTGAGCACTCTTACTATAGAATAGACAAACACAATTTACACACATTGTTGCAATCCGGCACAAGACTTTTGTCAAATGTTTGAGTTGTGAATTTTGCATGATCATTAAAGTAGAGTTGTGAATTTTGCATGGTCAAACTATTAAGATGGTCGGAACAGGATAAACTTTAAAAGAAACCCTTCGTGATTTAAAGCGTTTACTTGTTTTAAAGAGGTAAACTTTTATTTTTAGAAAAGTTTTTAGTTTAATAATAAGTTGTGTTCACTTTTAAAACACAATATGTATTCATAGGGGCATAAAAGAAGAATCTGCCTGCCAAAAATTTGTCTAAAAGTGATGTCCAAAATGCAAATGCTTATTGTTTGGTAAAAGCCACCAATCGTAGTGGTGGAAGGAAACAAAGAACCAATAGAAAATTTTCTAAGATAAATGGTGTTAAATATCAAAAGGTAACAATGTAAACAATAAAATTGCGAGAAGTATAGGAATTCATTACAATTTAAAAAATCTTTTAAATAAAAACACTTTTTTTTATTTTTACATTATGTTCAATTTGAAACTAAAACACAGGGAGTTAAAAAAAAAAACAATTGAAGATTTTCTTTGTTTGGATAATGTAGACTCATGTGATGAATAGATCTCAGAGCTTTAAGATCCTGAGGTAGAAGCCTATGAAGATTTTAATGCAAGTATAATTTCGAATGACCTTCTTGAAGTCGAAGATGGTGAACAATCTCAATATACAAAGAAGAGAAAGAAGAAAAACAAAGCTGTAAGATATTAATTTGAATAAGTTTTTTTTTTTATTTGTACTTTAACTGAAGCATATGTATTTTTTTTAAGTAAAGAAAAAATTTTAATTGATGTTGATGAGGAGGAATTTCCACATGCTAAGGAGAAAAGCGAGGAAGATTTTGAATTGAATTTCATGGATTCTCTCGAGGAACCTATTAGTAACACTAGTGCACGTGCAAATGGCGATGATTGATGAGTTATGACTTATAAGATTAAACCATGTTTATTTTGAATCTTTGGAAGTTTGAAACTTCTAATTTCTTTAATCATATTTGGATTTTATGAACACTATGACGTCATAAACTTTTGTAACTACTATGTTCTGTTATGCTTATGCTTTTGGTGGCGTTAAAATTAGAATGATTTTATTTCAATGTTATTTTTATTGTTTTTAAACTTTTTTTTTTTTAATAATTTTTCTCAAAAAAATTAAGGTTTACATCTTAAGCGCCTTGCCTCTCATATAGGGAAACTATATACGAGGCAAGGCGCTTGAGACTTAATTACACTCATTTTTGATGCAAAAATAAGTGTAATGAGCAACACACAACTCAGCTAACACAAAACGTTCAAGTACGTTCGACAAACGTTGCGAACACTTGAGCACGTCTTATGAACGTTCATAAAACGTTCTCAGTACTTTAAAAAATTTGACAAAATGCAATTTTGTCAGTGTGCAACAGTTAAATACGTTTTAGTTAAAATAAATAGATCTATTCTTTTTTTAAGTTTTCAAACTATTTTGCCGTTCTATAGAACAAAAAAAAAAGTCAAAAAATTATACAGTTTTGAAAACAGTTAATTTTGAACGGAATAAAATTTCTTTCTAACTTTTATTGTTCGATTTTTGTTTTTTAAATATGGTAATGTTAATAAAGAAAATAAATGCAATAATGTAAATTTTTTTTTTACCCATTAATTCAATTATAAACGTTTTTACACCAATAAGGAAGCTACTGACTTAGAGAGCCAAGTTAACAGTTAGAAGCATAAAACCTAATCAAAGTGTGAGCGTCATTAAATTAGTTAACGCCTTTTTTTCATCCCAAAAATTCAGAAAGCCCACGCAGCTGAAGCAATTATTGGATTTCATACTGTTTGTCATCAGCCTTAAAGCTCGATGAGCAGATTCATTACACACATCGTTTAAAGCTCCAGAAATTTCAAAATACATTGCATATGCAAAAACAAAAACTGAGACAGTCATAAACTAGGTAGTTGGCTCCTAAACTATTCTCATGAGATAACATTTCATGTTTCTGTCTTTAAACAGATGCTAGCAATCACGGTCCACGGATTTTTCCGATCGTTATTCAATACTTTGACTGGGAGACAATTGGCAAGCTAAAATTCTCATGTTAGATAACACACCAAGTGAAACCTCTAAAACTATATCATTATATATTTTTTAAATGCTACAAAGATATGAATTGTTGTCTAAATGTGTTGCTTTTGCTGGACACAATTCTAATGTAAACTTTGGAGGCATTAACAAAAGAGAAGGCAAAAATGTGTTCTCGTATTTGAAGGCTGCTTTAAAAAAACTGTTGGTTAGTGTTGGCTGTTTTTTCGACGTTTTGCACAACTGTATTCAACATAGAGCAGATTTATTAAAGATTAATATTGAAACTGTTACTTTGAAAATGTTCAATTATTTTTTTTTATGTAAACAATTAGAATAGAAGCTTTAAAAGGTTTATATAACTATTTTGAATTGGGGGCCCCCAATTCAAAATAGTTGTATAAACCTTTTAAAGGTTTATATAACTATTTTTATTTATACCTCAAAGATAATGCCGATTGTGGATAATGCCCAGTTGATTGACCAATACTGTAGTCTTAAATTATATGCGCAAGGCATAAATAAACAGTTTTTTTAAAGACCCTTGCATGAACAATGGGTTTTATTATTTAGAATTTGTCTAAATGCGACTTGCTTCTTAGAGTTGCTTAAAAACTTGTGAATTATTTTACTAAATTCCAAGACGAGATGGATATATTGAAAGAGTGTTCTCCTTGATCAATGCTCAATGGACAAAAGAAATTAACAGACTTTTTTTTGTCTCTGTAAAGGGTATGATTCTTTAATTTATTCTTACAAAGAAACCTGTGAACAGTTTTATAAGTATGCGATTGCTAACAAAAATCTGTGTACAGTTGGCTCCTCCGATATGTTACTTGACAAATATATTATTGTAAATAATTTAATCTAAAATGGTACTGTATACCTGAACGTAGCATTGTTTTTTTTTAATTTATAAATATTAATTGCTAATGTTACTTGGAGAAATTTACCCAACAACCTTGTTAAATAGATGTGTAGCAAAAAACATGTTTAAAATAATTTAAAAACTCATTTTGATGTTTCTTCTTGTTGAGAAATTTTTGATATATTTTTGTTACTTGTTATTATTGAATAATAATTTATAATACTGTCAATTTACTCAGCATCTTTGCGGACTGTAACAAAATGTTTTCTATAGGATCAACGGGTATTACACTTTGTTGTTTATTTGCATCCAGTGTAAATACCGTGGCTAGAGGGTCGGAGTCCCAGCCCCGTCACCCACTAAGTTAGCAGTTTAAAAAAAAAGCTATTATTCACTCTCAATTAATCAAATAGATTCAAACAAAAAAACAAGGAGTTACACTGATGAGCAAATCAATGTTGCATTTGCAGAAATAAAATCTGGTAACTTATCATTATAAAAAGATTAATCTGTGATAAGCATTTTAAAGACAACTTTATAAACTTTTGTGTTCGGGATAGTGTACCAACCAAGTTCTTTTGGTACTAACACATTCACCATTTTAAGTACTCTTACTGTATTAATATTGGTTGAAATGTTTATTAAATTAGCTGATTGGGGTTAATTGGTGTAAACTAGTATCTGATCTTGTAGCTAGTTATTTATAACATACAAAACAAACTAATTTATTTACAAAGGTAAACCACGAATAGCTTGGCACTTTGCTATTATCAAACCTTGGAAACATAGATAAAAAGCAATAGAGCTGCATGTAAAATTGAAACAATCAAAGCAGCTTCTTGTACTGAAAATAATATAAATAAATGTTTCTATACATGCAGGACTCGATTTCTTAAAGCAGGCAGTTAAATACACTGCGGAAAATGTCTGGAATTTTGATGAAATCAGCTTCCATGCTGGTAAGAGCAATCCATCAACTCTCTGAAAAAGTGGTTTCAATCCTCCTTTTAAACATCCTTTATCATTTAAACATAAGTTTATTTGAAAACTATTCAATTAGACCCACTTTTACTCTATACTTTTACTTTTACGGAAAAATAATTCTAATTAAAAAATAATAATAATATTGAATATTGTATGATGGTTTTTCTACTCTGGTGTTTTTTTTCCGAGCTTTTTTTTTTTGAATAGCTTGAGAAAACAACTGGTCTTTGAATTTTTAAGCAGGGCGTTCTTGGATAACCAAGAGGGGAGAGGGGTAAACACCTTGTGGCGTAATATTCTAGGGAGTCTAAACTTTTGTGACATCTTGCAAAGAGGGTGAGGGATAATTCCTCAAGAATCAGGGGAGCGCCCTGCTTAAAAATTCAAAGACCAGTTGTTTTCTCAAGCTATTCAAAAAAAAAAAGCTCGGAAAAAAAACACCAGAGTAGAAAAACCATCATACAATATTCAATATTATTATTATTTTTTAATTAGAATTATTTACGTTATAATATTTCCGTAAAAGTAAAAATATAGAGTAAAAGTGGGTCTAATTGAATAGTTTTCAAATAATTATTTGAAATCGGAATAATTTTTCAAATAATTATTTGAAATCGGAATAATGCAATATTTATATATTGCATTATTCCGATAGTTATCTAAATATAAAATATTTTTCAAAATTATTGTCATGTATGTATGTTTAATGAGAAAGTTACAATGGGCAGCGATAACAAAGTAAATAATTATTATCTCTATTATTATTAAATTATTATCAATTATTCACGAGTGATTTATAAAATTGCATTTTATAATCATAAAGATATAATATTTTCAAAATGTTCAATGGTAGTTTATATTAGTTAAATATATAATAATAATTGAAACTTTTTATATTACTACTATAAAGTTATTATCTCGCGGCTATTCCCCATTCTAACTACTATAAAGTAACTATTATCTCGCGGCTATTCCGCATTCTAACTAAAATAATTGAATAAAATGAACCTTAAAATGAGTTTAACAACTAAATAAAAGTTTAAATATTTATAACAAACTTAATTATTTATATTAATTGAAACTTATTTGAACCAATTTAATAAATAAAACGTGAAACGTTGTTGATATTAAAAATTAGCAAATAAACTGGGAGGACGTTGGTACCAGTATCCTGGGGAAAAATCATTCCGTTTAGATCGGGGTCCATTTCACCAATCCAATCGGCACTTTTATAGTTTTCAACATTAGCGATTAGAACCATTATTTCTTGTTGTCGAAGTGCAATGACTCTCTGAGGCCTAATTCTAATGGATGGAACGATTGATTCCTGGATGTATGTTACACTATGATTGCGCACCATGACTATTGATGCAAAGTACTGGTGGCATTTCCTGCAGATTCTATCATTAATCATGGATTGCATTAATAGACAGCACAAGTCATATGGAATTGACCAATACGGATTCAAAGAGCCGGGAAGTATGTCGTCAACTTTTATACTTTGTGCTGCAAACAGGGGTGGAAACTGATGGCATACTGGGTCCGTTATTTGTTCTCAAATTTTAAGACCTTGTTAGAACAACCAAAACTTGTTAGAAGCCAGAGGTCCCAGGTTCGACGCCGGCTCCAGCCCAATAAGCGACATTGGTAAGGAAGGAAGCGTGAACCTCTACTTAAATGCTCTTCCACGGTGCTCCGTGATAAGACAGTAAGGACTTCTGGGAGTAACTAAAAAAATAAAACGTTTTACAATCTGAATAAGATATTGGCTTGTTCGTATCTGACTATCACACCATTTCTAATCCCTTCACAAGAGGAGTTGTTCTGGTTACTCAGACTAAGATGGCTACCATAGCGGTCATGCGGCAATATCAATCCAGCAAATTCTATACTAAGTGATCCAATTTTTCTTTTTATACTAACTTTTTATTATTATACTAATTGTTATAATTAATTGGTGTCACTCATTTTGATCATGAGTGACACTCATGTCATCATATTATTTGTATTATTGTAGATAATGTTATTATTTTTAACTATTATTGTTATAATTATTTGGTGTCACTTCTTTGATCAGGCTTCTGTTTGAGTGACACCTTCCTTTTCAAATAATTATTTATATTTATTCTTATTAGTTATATTTTATTATAATTATATTGTTTGTATTAATATAGATAATATTATTATCATTATTATTGCTATTATATGATTATATGTAAATTTTGAAAAAGAAAATAAATATCTTGTTGTTGTTGTTGTTGTTGCTTCTTAAAAAAGGTCCTTTTTTTTAAGAAAGTTCTATTGAGACGGTTAGCAAATACAACTGGATCAAGAAATATAATTCATCTCTAAAGAAATGTCAATGAATGGAAGTGGATGACTTTATTTAAAACTTGAATAATCAAATATTGAGAAATAATATATACTAACTAGTCTGTGGATAACAGATAGATAATATTGCAACCATTATTTTCATTTGTTCACAGAGGTCCTCAACAAGCTCGTTGTTTACTTTCAAACGACGTCATATGCTCTAAGTCTGGTGCAAGTAGTACAAAACTGAAGGAAATAAAAGCTATTTGAAAAAAAATACTATTTTTTTTCAAATGCTTTTATTTCCTCCCGTTTTGTATTTAAAACCTAGACAAATACACTTTTTTTAGGAGAACCTCTATGATTGTGTCCTACCCATAGAAAATATGCGCTACTTCAACAGGATGCAATGATAAATGATATGGTTTATTAACAAAATTCTCAAATTGACATATGCAACACGCATGTACTAAATCTTGGCCATTTGCTGCTGTGCTAAACCACCAGTACCAACCGGTTACTTTAGCTATAGTTGCAAATTAACCCAAGTGACATTTTCTAATAAATATATTGTGCAAAGAATGGTAAAAGATTACTACATCTGTCCAACAACATCTGTGAAGTAGTGTAAGATCATCTATACACTTTTGTCAAAGATCGTCTGTATTTTTCTTTTACTTTAATAACATCTGTCCAATTCCAGATGTAGTTACATCAAAAAAAATTTCTATATGTAATAACATCTGGTTAAAATGATGCATTATTAGTTTATTCATCTTAAAAATAACTTCATCTTAAAATTTTAAATTACACAGATGTTAATACACTTTGATAATTTAAAAGATGTAACTTGGTCTGTAATATTCATTTAATTTTTGCACAGATGTTTTTAGACACCAATGAAATTTCAGATGTTGCTGGACAAATGTTATTAGACATGGCAAAAACTGATGCTGCTACTCTATTTGCTCAACTTTATCAGCAATAACCCTTCTTAGTTTTCTACACTCTTACTGTTTGATAAAATTTTCTTCTATCAAAGAAGAAGTAGTTTTTTTTATATTTTAAATTTATATAACATTTTTTATCTAACTTATTATCTTTATTTTTAATCAATTTATATATTTTTATTGTTTTATACCGTTTTATATATATATATATATTATTGTTTTATTAAAATTTATTTTGCTTTTCCACTATTATTATCTGTGATAAAATAAAATTACCTTTTTTTTGTTTTTAAACATTTTTCAGTTATTGTTTATCTTTCTGATTGATTATTAATAATTGTAACAACGAAAATTTTTAAACTTCAATTTGTAAATTATTGGACAAAAAAAGGTTGTCCTCAAAACACTTTTGAAGACAACCTTTTTTTGAAGAAAAAGTTTTTCACTATAACTTCCTAAATTTTGTGCATATAATACATATTTTGTCATATTATTTATAGTTTAGTTCAACTGCTAAATGCAATTCAAATTAATTGCGTTTTTTTATTTTAACAACGTAATAACAAAATAACTGCATCTTTTATTATAACTGAATTAAACTAAAAACTATTTTTGTTACTTATAATAATTTAAATGTAATTTAAATTTTCATTATATTTTTTTTTTTTTTTTTTTTTTGGTATGTATTTAGGTGCTCCCAGAAGTCCT